CGCAGCAATAGATCAGCGGAGTTCCAAAGGTAGGCTGCTGGTCGATCTGGAGGGCAGATGAGACGTGGAGGTCGTTGTTGGCGAGGCTGAAGGTGACGACGGTGGAGTTGATGGCGCGGGTGGGGGAGAGTTGGAGAGACGAGTTTCAGAGATGGGGACGAAGGAGGAGAGGGACTGCGTTGAAGAAGCAGCTGGTGTAAGATAGGTTGGGTCGGGTTAGGGGGTTGAATTGGGTTTGGGTTATGTAGTGGGGCTGATATGGCGGGTTGGGTCTTATGACATGGCAAGTTAAATTTGGCTGATTAGGAATTTCCGTTAGCCACGTCAGCAAAACACTGACAGTGTTAACGAAGAGTGACCAAACGGGAAACATTAACCACTTTTAGTGACTACGAATGAAATAAAATTCTTTTAGTGACCAAATGTGAATTTTTGATCACTTCTAGTGACCAACCTTGCAATTTACCATTTATTAATGATTTACGTAGTCTTTCCTTTCGCCATAATCTAAAAAATGATTTACTTAGTCTTTCCCTTTTGAACGACGTTCTTTGTTAAGAGTCGTTTAGTATCAATAACTCGAGTTGTTGAGAGAAGTATAATAACGAATCTTACACCAAACAATAATTCATGCTTTAGTTAGTCGTTCGCTTTCAAATTATGTTCTTTGTCAAGAAACGTTTATATAATAATTTGAATTGTTGGGAGAAGTTCAATAATATATCTTATACCATTTACTAGCACACTCTCTGAGAAAAAGTCAGTTTCTACATAATTAAAGTTTGCACAAATCTGAATATCATGTGATCATGAAATGAGGTTGCCAAAATTTGAACACAAATTTTTCTATCAACTATTCACACTTAAATGTTCCTTAATTGTATGTATCAATTAACTATCGTATATAATTTAACCATTTACTTTTCAAATGTGATTTTTCTACAATTTGATTATGAAAATAGAAGAAAATATTGAACTAAAGGGTACCCATGAAAATGATGTAATACAGACTCGCAAAAACAACCCAAAAGCTAGCTAAAAGCCGTTGCGTAGCGCGGCTGTGCTATCCTAGTGGTTATTAAGTTCACTCTCTTTCTAAAATGGTTTTTTTTTCTTTAGATTGTTAAATACTTGTATTCTTAAGAATTTGGCAAAATACACTTGTATAGCCAAAACTTTGACGGTTTTGCCAATAATAGCCCCTTTTGGAGAAATACCAAATATAGCCAGAAATTTGAAAGTTCGATGACAATAATAGCCATTTCCGTTACATAGTTTGACGGCGTCAGTGACACCGTTAGTCAAATTAACGGAATGATAATTTGGCTGCCAACTCACCTAACACATCATTGACAACTCACCAACACTTGCCACATATACATGACACGTCAGATTTTATTTAGAAATATTTAATTAATTTATTAACAAAAAAAACCATTTATAAACAAAAAAAAACAAAGGATTGCCCTGCTTCCCCTCACCCACCGTCATCCATTCTTCCCCTCGCAGTCGACCTCAAATTTCCATCTCCAAGTCTCCACTCCACCCCACCTTTCTTCTTCCTCCTCCTTTCCTTTGCGATTCTGTAGGGGTTGTGAATTTAAAGTCCGAGATTGATCCAACGAAACATCTCTCGGTGGAATTCGGAGCCCTAAACCTCTGATTGCAGCACCTCGCATCTCCAATTGCAGCCCTCATATCTCATCCAAACACCTCGCAATCAAATCAGAATCCAGACTGCTCCAACGGTACGACTCTCAACTCCTCCCAACTCCCTCCTCTTCAACAATACGACCTCCTCGATGGCGACGAGATGGAGCTCGGAGAGCTCACTTCCATCACTGTCTGGCTCCGAATCAAGAACCAAAATCCGTCGTCGCCACTACGGCGAGGCGGGAGGAAGCAGATTGCTGCTTCGGTTGAAATAAAGCAACTGGAAACTAGGATTTCGGCGGAGGAGAGTCAATTGGAGAAGGCGGAGCAAGTTCTTAAAGAAAGTTCTTGGGCGATAAATTCCAGATATGGGCAGTTTTCAAAGCTACCGCCAACAATCGACGGTGAGCAGCTGCGCCAGGGGAAGATGGAGGGAAATCGCAAACTCTGCCTTTATGATGCCATTCTCTGTAACCTCATTATCGCTTTTGTCGTTGAGAAGATATTCGCCACCGCTTCATCTCCTTCCTCTCCGAAATCGCTTTGTGTTCGCCCCTCAGATTTGAACTCGTCGGAGAACCCCCAGCCCCTCAGATTCAAACTCGCAGTCCTTGAAAAATCCGTTCACTCTCCCCTCTTGCCCATAAACCAACATCGCTAAAGAACCCCCAACAACAAAACCCCCAAATCGAGCACTGTGAAGGCAGAACCCCCAACAACAAAACTCTTAATCAAATCCACAAAAAAACCCTAAATGGAACCATCCCAATTTCAAACCCGTTCACCCTGGCGGCCTCGTCGTGAGAGCTCGAATCGCCGTTTTGCGATGGCTAGCTCTGTTTCGGCGGTAGAGCATCGGAGGGAGAAAATAGTGAGGTGGCGCCGGAGAGAGGTCGGGACGGTGAGGAGGCGCCAGAGAGAGGTCAGGACGGCGAGGAAGAAGCGATGGGAAGGATGCTCAGGGAATAGAGGGAGGTGGGGAACGGCGAGGAGGTGCCCTAGTAATTAATATGTCTTGGTCGCAAACAGAGAGGAAGAAGGACATGGAAAAAGGCGAGAGAAGAGAGACCAGATGGGTGAAGGAATTTATTTATTTTTTTAATTTAATTATAATAATAAAATAATCATTTCCACATGGCATGATTTTGGACAAAAAATTGCCACATAAGCAAGAAACGTTAGTCCAGTCAGCATGTTTGATAACACCGTTAAAGAATTGGATGGAATTGGCTATATTTGGTATTTCTCCAAAAGTGGCTATTATTGGCAAAACCGTCAAAGTTTTGGCTATACAAGTGTATTTTGCCTAAGAATTTCTATTTTTAATTTTTTTTATGCACATATTGTTTGATACGAATGCATTATCATTCAATTGTTTAATTGCGATTACTTTTTTCGCTCCAATTTTATATTTTATGAAGTATTTAATACGGGTTCTCTTATTTTTCTTGTTCTTGCAATCTAGGGATGACAATCAAACCCATGCCCACGGGTATCCGACCGCCCCCGACGAGTATGGGGCGGGTATGGGTAAAACCCGCAAAATGTTTGATGGGTACGGGGCGGGTATGGTTTTAGCCTCCCCGCCCCATACCCGCCCCACCAAGAATATTTGTTCACATATAAAAAATACATGGATGAAATAGTAATCTATCAATGATAGTGAGGGTAAATAAAAAAAATAATTAGTAAAAATACAATTGAGTGGTCACCCAAATCAAAACCTAATTCATTTTCCTCAACTCTCTCTTCACTCTTTCACTTTTCCCTCGTCTTAGCAAGATTATATTAATTCATTATTGCTTAGTATATGTATCAGAGTCAGATAAATAATGATTTGGATTACATTGTAGTACTCTATTTTATGGATTAAGGGAAATTTTAGGATAAAATGCTTTGAACCATATTAAGAATTATTGTCACTTTCTCGACTTCATGATATAATAGGTGCCTTTAATGCTATAATTGAAAATTTACATATAAAATTTTATGTATCATAATGTTGGATGTACGGGGCGGGTATTACCCATGGGTACCCGAAACCCACGGGTATGAGGATGAGTTTGCAAAATTTCTCCCGCATGGGTATGGGGCGGGTATGGATTTAGATATTTGAAAGCGGGATGAGGATAGTTTAGGCAAACCCGCACCATTGCCATCCCTATTGCAATCACACCAACATCAACAATAGTATAGTGGAGTTTAACATTATGTTTGACAACTAGGAGTTAAATTTCAGTTGGTGCAAGTTGGAGGAAATTGTAGTGGTGTAAGTGAAAAAAGATTGTTGTTTGAAATCAAAAAATAGGGGGTGCAATTAGGAGAAAAGTAAGTGATATTATTGTAAAATATATTTAAAATAGATTATCACAAAATAATTAAATGCAAACTATATAATAATTACAAATATTAATAAATATACCTTAATAAAAAAATTATTAAGATAGTAATGCTTAAATAGTAGTTAATTATGACAATTGTAATAATAATTGATCGAGCAACCGCAAAGCTCGAAGCTCATCCCGTGACCAAGACATGTAGCTAGCTCATGGCTCTCATTTTGCGCGTTGATTTGTCGACATAGTGGTTAAACCGGTGTGAAATTGACGCATTAAATTGGGTTTAACTTTAATTGGTCAACTTAAAGGAATCTCGAGCCCAATTTAACGTTGACACCCCACCCCCACGGCCCACACACCCCAACGTCTATAATTCCTTGTTACGATACAATTAGCTATTAAACCACCCAGGAAAAATGAAGGCAGAGATTAGATTGATACATAGCTAGCTGACAGCCAGACATCGGTCTCCTCCTTTTGGCTCTCTCTGTTTGTGCTTACTCTGCTTCAAAATGAAAGAGGGTCTGCCTGCCTGCAACTCCCATCACTTTCCCTCCTTTTTCTTTCTTGGCCTTTTTGGCATCATGTTACAAAAACCACGTAACGTAGATAAGATTAGCGGTAGAGACTAGCCAAGTTAAGTTTTGATCTAGATTAGACCTGACTAGTAAATGAAAAAGTCGAATTTGACCTTGAGTTGTACTAAAACCTCAACTTGTACTTGATTCGAGCTCGACTCGAGCATAGCTTATTTAATGAGCTCATAAACTCTATTCGATTTGGCTTCATCAGTTAGCTCTCGAAGTCGGTTTGAGCTAAGGTATCATATCATTAAATTTATAATTTTTACTTGTTGATATCATGTTATTTTATAGTAATTAGTATCTGCGCAATATGATACATAATTTATCTTTTAAATTATAAAATAGACATATTTGATCACTTTGGTCAAAATTTTAAACATCTTATGTGGTGAGATATATAATCTAACAGACCTATTATCAACAAGCCAATGACAATGATTCACTAATAAATTGTTAGTCGAGGCAGCTGACTATCCATAATGTCCAGCCAACTAGCTCATAGCTCAAAACGAGCTAACTCACGAATTGAGCTCAACAAGCCACTGTGTCGAGCTGGCTCACGAGACTTATAAGCCGAACAAGGCCTATCTCAAACTCAGCTCGTTAGTAGACGAACCGAGTATCGAACGAGTTTTTTCCGATTCAAACATCAAACTGCTCGTGAGCCGTTCATTTGCAGCCCTACCCTTCAATCGACGATCACAATTATGTGTCAGATTTTGACATTGACCCACCCCAAACCCAAAACACATATAATGCTAAATCGATCATCTCTCTGGCGGAGCCATGGCCACCACACCCTAAAAGATAAGCAAGTTATGGAGCAAGCATTCATCTTTTGTACTAATATGTTCATTTTGACAGCTCAACTCTCTCTCCCTCCTCTGCTTCTCCTCCAGTACTGGTACCATCGCCCCCTCAACAGCCCGAACCAGAAGCCCTTTTGGCGGAATCCCACAGCCCCGCGAGAGAAGGCTAGAAAAAAGCTGAGTTTGTGAGTCAGGTCTTTCCAGTAATCATTATACCATGGATAGTACTCGACTGCATGGACACAACACATCAAAAGTTGTGCAGCAAGAGACTACTATGAAAGAAGACATACCAGCAGCAGCAACAACATCCCCTGCATCACCACCTTCAGCAACTACATCTCCTGCTCATGAATTCTCCTTCACAGTCTCCCTTCATTCTTCCTCATCAGCAGCAACTCTTCCTGAAACCATCAACAACAACAGCAATAAGTCCACCAAACCCACAACTCAAAATCCATCATTTGCCATTGATTTGTCTCCAGCAGATGACATCTTTTTCCATGGCCACTTGCTTCCTCTTCACCTCCTCTCTCACCTCCCTGTCTCTCCTCGCTCATCCACCAATTCCATGGACAGCTTTACTCTCCCCATCAAGGAATTGCTAGACGACCAGATAGCCAGCGGCAGAAGTAGCACAACATCAAATCCCATCAGCAAGAAAGCGCATAGCACAAGCAACATCAGAACCAGGCCAAGCAATCACCATCATGAGAGCATCGACACCAGTGAAGCGAAAACGAGAGCAAAGTCCAAGTCTTTCTCCTTGTTCGGGTGGAGAAAGAGGTGTGAAGCTAGAGAAAGGGAAGAAGAGAAGGAGAAGCAACAGAAGAAAAGGCTCAAGTTCGATGTCAGTCATATACTGAAGAGGTATGTACGGATGGTAAGGCAAACTTTCAGAGGGAGCAAGGAGAATCATCTCCATTTTCAAAGGCAACCTCGTACATATTCAGGGCATTTGAGCGTGAGAAACAACAACAAGCATGAGTTGAGAGGAAGGAGGGGTGAATTGTTCTCTGCACCTGCATCAATGAGGACTTCTCCATCTAACAGTGGGGTTCTCTGCACCATTCCTCCTCCTACAAACGACGGCACTATGGAGGAGCTGCAGGCTGCAATTCAAGCTGCAATTGCTCATTGCAAGAATTCCATATCCACAGAAGAGAAGATGGTCAAATGTTGAGTGATGGGAATTGAACAATTTCCAGTAGAAGTTCCTCTCTCCAAAGCTTTCCCCTATTGGTTGTTATACCTGTGTATAAACTGGTGTATATAGTTTATAATATAGAACAAGATTTCTCAGTTACTTCTCAGAGTTAAAGCTGGTTTCTCTAGAAGGATTGATTGCCACTTTCAAGGATGAATACCCTTTTTACTTTTCTTGTTTCCACATTGGCAGCAAAGGGCACGATAATCAGCTTCATGTACAATTCAAGCTGAATGTTCTTCGTAGGATGCCTTTATGGGACGCATCTAAGTCTTCCAGTCAAAGAGGGGAAAACCCAGGAATTTCATGATATGGAACTGTCCGTACTACAAACTAGAGATATGATCTCAAGTTGAAACTAAAGGCAATAAAGTTCAGCAGCTAGACTAAACATATCAGAATGAATGAAGCTGAATTAAGAGTCCAAGACAAAGGCTGGAACCATTGATTGATTATTGTCTTATGCTATATCCTTGGCTGGCTCTAATCCAGCCAGCAAGACTGTGTGCCATGCCTGCTGTACAAATGACCTGCACCTAGCCAGCCATCCCTAACATCTAGGGCCGAAGTTTTCAATCTAGGATCACAGTCTTGAATATCAATTTATTATAAAGAAGCAAAGTAGGTACATTGAGCTTTGTTAGAAGTACTGGGATACCTTCCAAGTAGGTGAATGTGCTGGTATAAATCACCATATTGTTGCTATAATCAGATGAAAAGAATGATATTAAGAAGCATAAAAGTCATCAGTTCAACAGGAAACGAAAAGGGTCGACAAGAAGAAAAGGAAAATCAACTTTGGTAGGTGCCATGAGAAGCAATAAAACTGGCATGATTGGGCATGAAAAAGGCAGAGGGACTCCTGAATTGATTGCTTCATAATTTAAAGTTTCACAGGAAGAACCAACTGGTACCCAAGTACCCACAATCATTCCACAGTCCATAGCAATAATGAATGTCTTACGATTGACATCTTAACCACAAGTTTGCCAGACAAAATTATATGGCGTTTACAATAATAAAATAACAGAACTCTGTCCTTCATTCCCAGATGACAAGCCTTTTGTTTTGTAACTTTGCAGGAAAATCAGAAGAAGATTTGTAATGTCCAATTAGCGTTTGGGGGCAGGGTGATTATAATTTGTATGCATCATAGATGATGAAGCACAAAATGAATATTGATACGTTGATAGGATGTGCACAATTGACTAATGGGCTAATAGCCTAATTCCCTTTTCTTCCTCTTGAAATGAAGCCCCACAACGCACATGACAGTGGCTGCTGCTGCCATGCCTTTTGAGCATCAATCCAAAGCAACAAAACACAGACAGGGAAAAGAAAGGGACACAACACAACATCACCAACGAGAAAAGAAAACAAACCCCCATATGCACCGTATCCGCACGAGTGGATTCCCACGGATATGGCTTTCTTTTGAAAGGTTGTATCTTTGCGCTTTGCTCATCAAAGTAGATGATGCGCACAAGGTGTTTGTTGTAATTACCCAACGAAGAAAAAAGCGGCATGGCCTCCTCAAAAAATGGGCACATGGTTGCATGGCTCAAGAAGATACTCACTAACGCGCATGATTGGGTAAAGCTCTCTAGTCGTAGTTCGCCATTTACGAACAATCTAATCCAAAGTCTCGCACATCGAAATCAAGAAATGATAAAGAAACGTTGCGAACCAATGGAAGTAAGTTTGACTGTTTGAGCATGCAAGAATCGAAATTTTCAAAAACCAGAGGAAAAAGTACCTTGCAATTTTCCGCACACGGGACCCCTGGCTGGCTAGAGAGATTGTAGGAAAGACGAAGAGATTGTAACACTTAAAAACCAAACTATAAAAAAATAAATAATTAAATATGCTCTCTTCGGTCAAACTAAATCAACAAAATCTATAAAAAAATCAACAAAATGAAGTAGAAAACATTGGAACTGATGTGTAACCATTTAATGATAATTTTTAAAACTTTGACCGTTATATATGGTGATTTTTAGAACTACCTGTGTAACGTATGTGATCGAAACTAAAGCACGAATCGAAACGAAACAGGATTTACGTGGTTTCCTTGTTCGATGTGCTCGAACAAGACTAGTCCACGGGAAGGTGAGTTCTCTCTTATTTTCTTGTGTTCTTCAACGTCATACACCAGAACATATATACAGGAGAGACTCGGCTCTCTACTAATAACCCTAGCCGAGTCTATTGACCCCTACACACTAATGGGCTGAGCCTACAAGGCTCATAACCAAGGCCCTAAAATACTACGTCATATATCACAACACCCTCCCCCAAATTGATGGGAGGAGTCAACATCAATTTGTCGGACAAATACGAATGGCGACTAGCAGAGAAGGCCTTGGTGAACAAATCAGCCAACTGATCCTCCGAGGTAATGTAGGAGATGCGTATAATACCATCTCGAACAAGGTTATGAATGTAGAGAATATGAACTTCGATATGCTTCGTCCAATCATGCATAACGGGATTGGTGGCAATGCGAATAACACTTGTGTTATCAACATAAAGCTCCATAGGCACAATGCAACAAACCCCAAGGTCGACAGTAGATGCTGCAGCCACTCCATTTCCGAGGTGACATCGGACATGGCACGGTACTCAACCTCCGTGGATGACTTGGAGACACGAGCCTGCTTCTTACATTGCAAAGAAATGAGTGAAGCACCCAGACGAACACACCAGCCAGTAGTCGAGCGACGAGTATCCACACACCCAGCATAGTCAGAGTCCAAGCAAGCCTATAGAACAAGGGCGCCACTAGAAGGAAGAAATAGACCAACATTAGTGCCACGAAGATATCGGAGAATGCGATGGACTGCCGCCAAGTGATCGTTCGGGGAGCAGCCAAGAACTGACTAACAATCTGCACAGCATATGCAATATCAGGTCTGGTGGAGGTAAGATAAATAAGACTGCCAACAATACTGCGATACTGTTTCCCCCCATAAGCCAATAAGTCACCCGAATCTTGGCTCAAATTGAATTTGAGCTCAATAGGAGTGGAAACCGAGACACATTCTGCAAACCGAGCTGCGTCCAAGATATCAGTGATATACTTCTGCTGATTAAGTAAGATCCCATCACGAGAGCGGGTAACCTCGAGACCCAAGTAGAAGGAGAGAGACCCGAGTTCCTTGAGCTGAAAAGAAACATGAAGGCCCTTAGTCAGGGTCGAAATACCTGCACATATAACAAGAGGACCACTAGACCAGCAGAAGCGTGACAAGTAAATAGAGATGGGTCATTAAAACTCTGCATGAAGACTAAACCAAGAATGGGCGAGTGAAACTTATCAAACCAAGCCCGACGAGCCTGCTTTAGACCATAGAGAGATCGATGGAGGAAACAGAACTGATCAGATGACTCAGTGTTATATCTAGGAGGATACTCCATGTAGACAGTTTCCTTCAACTCACCATGAAGAAACACGTTCTTTACGTCGAGCTGGTATAAAGGCTAGCCATGGAGAGATGCAACAACTAGAAGAGAACGCACAGTCACCATCTTGGCTACATGAGCATATGTTTCTTCAAAGTCCACCCCATACTCCTGAGTAAATCCATAAGCCACCACTCTTGCCTTGAACCAATCAATAGAGCCATTCGGGTTAACCTTCAGTGCATACACCCACTTACTGCCAATCATTGGAATTTCGGGAGGAGGACGGGATGCTACATCCCATGTATGATTTGCATGTAAAGTAGAAATCTTCTCAGTCAAAGCGCCATCCTAGCGAGGATCACCCTTAGCCGGAGATTACCGTGTACGGACTGGGATGGGATCCACCTGAAAAGAAACATAGTCCAAGTAGCGAGCAGGAGGATGACCAATATTCGTGCGGAGAGATCGGCGCCAAGGAACCTCAGGCGGAGGCGATGAAGATGGCGACGAGTTCGTCGAGCTGGGAGATGTGGGGACAGGAGAAGGCGACGGACTAGGTAGGGGCGCGACACTCCAAAACACAACACCAATCTGCGACCAAGTGTAATCGCAGACCGGGAATGCAGTAAAGTGGCAAGTTATATTATCAACCCGGGGTCTAGATCTACTGCTTACTCAGTGATTATCTATTATCTAGCCAACTAAGTCAAGTGATTGTTGTTTAAAGCAAAAGCAGAAAGAAAAGCAGGAATTTGGTACGGTTTTCTCAAGCAAGGAAGAGTCACTCGGGAATGAGTCCCCCTAGCTCCTTAGTTAGGTTTCAATTGTAATTTTCCTGGGTTGATTTACTGTTGATTAGACTGCGGAAGATCCGACAGTAGCTTGAAATCTCTTAAGCTGACCAAGCCCTCTCAGACTAACTACCCAGCAGACGACTAGTCTTCACCGGGATAGAAAGCTGAAGCAATAAGAACAGAACTCCACTACTGGAATTGAATTCTAGTACAAAGCAGTAAACTGCCTAATTCTCGTATATCCAATCTCCTACTACCGAATGATGAGGCTCTAACAACCTAATCAAATTCTATCTATCTCAGGTTGCAGCAGAAATCAGGAAAAGCTTATCAGACTTCAATTGACTCAATAAACATGCATCATTCGATTAAAACCAAGCAGTAATATCATCCCAAGTCATTACAATCAAATCCCTAACACATAGAACTAGGGTTCTTCATATTCAAGTGAGAGAAAGGTTCTACTCCATAGAGAGAGAGAGAGGAAAACAGAATACAGAGTAGTCATACTCATAAAGATGAGGAAAATCTGCTCTGGGATGATGATTTCCACTCTTATGACGATCTCCAAGCTTGATTTGATGAAACCCAGCTCCAAGATAGCTTCTAGGATGTGTTCTTCGTACTTTCTCTCTCTAGGGCTCTGTTTTTGCTCTCCAAACTCCATTCTCCAAGCTTTCAGCCCGAAATTGGGTAAAAACCCAGAAATTCCCGACTCACACGGGCAGGCCCACACGGCCATGTGGCATACCCAGTTGCCCGTGTGACTTCAAAACGCCGCGTTCCGCTTAATTGCACTTCAGGCTTCCTACACGGCCAGGGTCACACGGCCGTGCAGCTCACCCAGCCTGGCCGTGTGAAGCCTCGCAGTATTCCACACGGCCAAACCACTCATTCACACGGCCGTGTGGATATCAGGGCTGGCCGTGTGAAGTCTCGCACAATCCCACACGGCCAAAGTGGTCACTTGCACGGCCGTGTGAGTTGTGGGTGTGCCCGTGTGGCCTCCTTTTTGACTTGCCTCGCGCCCGATCTTCGTCCAATCGACCCCGAACTCGCTCCCAAGCCTTCATTCACTTACTAGGACCTGAAATATCACAAACAAGCACAACCTAGCGTGAAATCGGCCTAAAACACGAGAATCAACACCTCAAACGGCTCCAGAATAGGGGTAAAAACATGTGCAATTAACGGCTTATCAGGGCGACACATCATCAATAGCATCATCATCATGAGGGAAGGTTCTATCAAACTGGGTTTTGACCATATTAAGGAATTCTGTGGTAACAGTCAGAAGCTCGGATTTAAGACGCAAGAAATAGACCCATGTGTAACGAGTAGCATGATCAACAAATAGGGCAATGTACTTATAACCATGACGAGAAGTGACAAGACTGGGAACCCATTAGTGTGAATAAAGTGAAATGGTTCTGAAATGGTAGTAAGACTAGTGGGAAAGTAGATCCGAGTAGTCTTAGCTTCAACATAGCTAGTACAAGAAAAATCAGATCAATGTGCCACTTTATCACCAAATAATTTTTGTTTAACATAACACCAAGTCTAGTTGAGTTTGGATGCCCCAATCAAGCATGCCATAACTGAAAAGTTCGATCACTGGTACTCAAAAACACAGGAGAAAAAGATACCCTAGACACCAAAGACCCAGAGGAAGAGGAATTTGGTAATGATGATGATGATGTAGTGCTGAGATGATCTAGATAAAAGATCCGCCCATGCTTACTATCCTTGCTGATCTCAAGCCCCTTCTTCAGATCCTGAACAGAGCATCTCGAGGGTACAAACACAATACAACAACCTTGCTCAGTAAGTTGACCAACAGAAACTAGACTGGGTACAAGTTTCGGCACATTAAATGTATTTGATAATTGCACATCTTCATTCTTAACAGTCCCAATTCCCGCCACCGGCAAATATTTCCCATTGGCTACTTGAAGAGTAATGTCATTAACAGGTTTAATATTGGACACCAC